ATCCCCTGCGCCTTCAAAGGGCTGACATGCTCTGATGGATTCAAATGAAAAGCTCAAGTTGGGGCGCTGGCTTTCTCCAAGGCAATCTATGTCAAAAAGGTCAATCTTTTTATAAAGAGTAAGAGCTATGCCTGCTCACTCAGCGTTGGCCGCCGCTCGGATCGTCTCCAAGTCCTGCATCATGCGCCAGTGGCCCGATCCCTTCAGCCGGGAAGCATCCCAGAAGGCCTTGGGCTCAGAAGAGCCGGACTTGTGATACAGGACCTCAATGGCATACATGTCTTCGTCCTTGCCCCGAATGTACTGGTACATCATCAATGGCGGCAGGCAGGGCCACACAACGGTTCGCACGAAGGTACCCAACTTGATCACGTTGCCTTGGCCCATGTTCAACCAACACCCGGGATGTCAGTCTTAGCTACATAGTTCCCGTTCTGCTTATTCCTCAAAGATACAAGGATATACAAGGTGATGATATGAGATATTCCCATTTATATCCAATTTTGATCAATTTTGGGTCAAGTTGCAGAAGGTCTGAGGGTTTGCCTGCGGAGCTGTGATGAACTTGTGCGCCACGATGGCCAGCTCACCAATGCTGCTCGCCATGGCTACCAATATCTACCTTAACGCAGTTGTCCCAAAATCCATCCAACAAATGCTGCGTCATGCAGGATATTTGGCCAACCAGCTTGCGAAAAGTCTTGTTCCATGATCTCGGCAGCTTTTGAATTGGCATCTTGGTCAAAGTGACTTTAGCCGTGCCTTCGGACATCGGCCGTTTCGCGAGTTTTACTCATCTGGCCCTTAACCCTTCAGCCGCCTTGCCAAGCACGAGATACTTCACCGTCTCTGAGCAAGGGGGCACCTGGTGATGGTCAACATTGGGAAACCCCATGAAAACCCTGTGGATTTCATGGAGGCTAACCTCCAGTAATCAAACATGGGAACTAAGAATTCAATGGAATTCATTCATATCATGTCATGTCGATTTACGGATAATGCATCTTTTTAATTCTATTCATCAAGACGTCACATGTCACCATCCTTGACTTCCCTTTTTGGCCAGGGGCGCTAGGCAGTGGGAAAACCCCGAGGCTAGCACCGGCACTGAGCCCTGGTACATGTACGATGCTCCAGCTGTCGCTTCCTGAGGTCCCAGGGTTTTGAGATGGACTAAGATGATCTGAGTCTATGACCGTACTGTAACCTCTACCCTCTGGTAATGACTAACATGACTATGGAAAATCACCATAGAAATAGTGAATTTTCCCATGAAACATTGTGATTTTCCATAGTTATGTTAAATTACCAGAGGGCAACTGGGATGTTTATGGAATATACCTGATGTACCGGAAACCAAGATGGCAACGGATTTTTCCGCTGTCATTTTAAGTGATGCTTCAATCACCAAAAGTGTGTGATTTCCATGGTCGAATGAAGCTACCCCGATAAGTTGGAACATGTCTCAACTCAAAATTTGATATCCCATTCCTCCCACAATCAGCTACAATTCATCCCATTCATCCCATTCATCCCATTCATCCCATTCAAGACTGGGATATCACATCCCATTGGCATCTCCAGCTACATCCCAGCCATGAGGTACAAGGTTGTGCGTCCCCAGTTGTAAGTTGGTTTATAACTCCATTAACTATAGACATATCATGATATATCTACCATATATTTTTGCCATATATCTGCCATATATCAACCATATATCAACCACATATCTACTATAAACCATAGCTATATTGGAGATACCTGCACCACCAGCCCAGCTCACCAGCTATATCTCCGGCATCCGTCCTTCACGGCTTCCTTCAGGTTCAACTGCTCAGTCAGCGTCGGCCAGGTGGCGTCTTCATCCACTTCCAGCTCTTCATGTCCCTCCGATACGCTGGGGAATCTCCACTTGTGCATTGAAAAGAACCTGGGTATCTACACTTATTTTTTATACCGATATGTATATATATATATAATATAATATATATATGTGTGTGTGTGTAATGTGTGTATATGTATATATGTGGTTCTACATGATTATATGTGATTGTCTGTGACTATGCATGGTCATAAGTTATCATAAATAAATAAATAAACAAATAAATACATATATATATATATACCAACAACGGATATTTAATAATATGTTAATATATTAATGCATTAATCTATTAATATGTTAACATATGTTAACATACTATACTAATATGTATACAATATAAACATGTATACATATATATATGTGTGTGTGTGTTTCTTCGTTATTCTGTTGTTCTTCACGTCTCTTCGTTTCTCATCGTTTCTCTACAAATCTACTTCTGTGTTGACCCAGGTGGGCCGCTGCCCCATGCTGCCCCTTGGTGAATTCCTGAAACGGAGCAATTGATGGTTGCAAATATGGCTGTCTGAAAATGTGACTTAAAAATGGTTAAAAAAACAACCATGTATAACCATGTAGACCCTGCAAATGACAGGTTCAATAGATATCAATAGATGACAAATCCTAGGAGTTTGGGTGTTTTCCCCAGATTTCCAAGACAAACCAAGATCACCTCACCGGAGTCAGTTACGCTCCTGTGGAAAGCCCATGTAGCTGAAGATGGCATTGTCTGCAGACTCGTTGTGCTCGAAAAGCACGCTCACGACCTCATGGGATGTGCTCAATCAAGGCTCTTTCAATGGGAAAATCATCGAACTAAATAAGGGATTTTCCAGCAAGCCACATTTGAGGCTATAGAGGCTATGTACCTTAGCAATCTTCAACCTCGCAACTAGCTGCAGGTGTTTTCAGGGGATGGACTGATTGCTAAGAACACCTCCCACCCACCGTTTCTGGCCAGAAAAACGCACTGGGCATGGCGCCACGCCATCTTTGAGCATGTCGCGATGATCTTTGGGTTTGTGGAAGATCATCAGTTCCGCCTTGCTGGGGCCCCATGTGTCAGGAAAGGCGGTGAGGATTACCAATCAACGTCATCCGACATGAGGATTCGAAGTTTGGTGTTTGGGATTGAATTCTGCATTCATCTGCATTCCTATTTGGGTTACATGGATTCGAAGTTTGGTGTTTGGGATTGAATTTTGCATTCATCTGCATTCCTATTTGGGTTACATTGTCTTGTTCGGACGTTGTTCATAGACCAATGAGATATATATATATCCATATCTATACACGTGTTCATCTCCAACGTAGATAAACATCAACATGCATAACTTAGAACGGTTAAAAAATACATATAAGCATATTGGATATATATATATATATATCATAATTAGATCCACAATAACTCATATACATCCATATTATCAGTGGGATTAGATCCCTACTAGATGTACATCTTCAAATGGCCCTGCTCCTCATTTCAGCTGACCGGTGTCCAGGCACCACTCTGCTTTGGCCATCCAAAGTATGCCAGCTATCTGTAGAGAGGTGTACCTCGCTCGTGGCGGGAGAACATCCATGAAAAATGGAGGATATATATGATGTTATGAGGTTATTATAGCTGGGAAAAACACACCTCGAACTAAAAATGGGGACGGATTTTCCGGCAAGCCATGGTTTGAGTACCAAAGAGCAAACCCTCCCAAGGTCTGCAAAAAAAAAATATGCTGTTTATGATATTTTTGTGATGAAATGCATTCTCATTCCTTCCTGTCTCCGTCATCAGAGTACCATCCCAGAATTAAAGGAACAAATTACAGGAAGCCCTATTTGGTGATTGAGTGGTAAAAAGCATCGTTTCCACCCTGAATTTGCCCGTAAACCAATGCAATTTGGCTGTTCAAATCCTACTTTTTCGTTGGTTAGAGATATTAAATCCTTATTTTTGTTGAATTTGTTGGTACACCCGGTACACCCCCTGCAATGGGGGCAAAGTAAAACCCCGATGATACCACCAGCCCAGAGCCCTCTGCCTCATGCGCTGTATACTGCACGGTGTGGCCCTCTGTATCCTGCAGGAAGCCGGCGCATGTGACAGCACGTCTGCCAGCAGCTCTCAAGAATTGGATGGTTGAACCGAAAATATCTGAAAACTATGGGGGGGAAATAACAGGAAAATACAGCAAGTACTACCAAGAGCCTCAAACTGTCGATTCAGAGCCTCTTTCTATGACTTTCCGCCCATCCAATAGGTCCCTCCGCAACTGCCAGTGCCTTGAGATACAAGGAGCCAAAGTCCCCTTTTACAGACGCCGAGCGCATGTATGAGCTCAAGTGGACCTCGCTGAATGGAGGGAAACTCACCAATTTCACACCCGTCTGGCTATCATTTACCTTTTTGTAGGTTGGAGCAACCCTGATAATTAGCAGAGTTACCGTCTTTCGTTTCTCCAAATGTGCATATGTGTGTATAGTGTGTATATATGTACAGTTAGTGTGTGTGTGTGCGCGTGTAATCACTGTATATAGATACATAGCTGTAATAATGCATACATATATATATACATAAACACATGTGCGTGTCCCATGTTGACCCATGATTTATCATATTGTTCCATTAAAAAAAGGCAGCAACATGATTGAAATCAAAACTTATGCTGGAGTGAGGTAGTTAGGAAGTTCCCTCGTGCCAACATCTTGGAGCTCCTGGATTATCACTGGACAGATTCATCAGAATCTTTACATCAAACTAGATAGATAGAGTAGATAGTGAAGAGGTTTCAACTGAGTGAACAGTAAGGAAACCAATACAAACGCATAGAAACGCATGCATGTGTTTTTTCATGCATGTAGCGTTCTCATGTTTCTCATTATTATTGCTATTAGCATTCATAGTATCATCATTTTAGGTTCCAAGATGCCTGAGGCTCCCAACGGTGCCTTTTCCCACGGTGCCATAGTCGGAGGCATCTGAGATCAGACCGTCCTGGTGTCAGGCAACGGCTGCGTTTGGGACCTGATTTTTGTGGGGGAAAACATGGGAAAAGCTCCCGAAATGCCATGGTTTAACACCGGGGCAGCTTGTGTTTTTTGACCCCTCTTCTTATCTGAAATTGCAATATTGATGCATCCCCCATTTTAACACAAAGCCATGTATCATCAGAATGGTAAATAAATGTAAAAAACCAGTCCGCGACAGCTTCTCAGCTATACCAATAGGTGGCATACCACGGTATATCATTACAAAAAAGAAAAAACAAATTGGTAAAATAGAGCAGTCGGTAATTCAACTTGCGAAGGGGGGTTATGGTTCACCCCGCTGTTATTATCGTCGGCCAAGCCATTAGAAAAAGGGATGTCTTATGCCATCAGGTGCCTAGCCTGAGGCTGCCGATAAACTACAATAAACAGCCCCCGGAAGTCCTTGTACCCTCTGGAACACTAACATAACCAGTGCAAATCACCAATTTTAATGGCTAAATCATGCTAAATTAAATCAACAATAAGTCTTATGTGGCCATTTCAATAGCTAATGTATGCAAAACTACCAGAGGGTTTGCCGAGTGGTGGATACGGGTGGATCTGTTCCCGCAGCGACGTCCTGGCCCCCGTTCATCACACAGGAGCCGCTGGTGGCGATGTCCATGGGAGATTGCAGTTCACCTCCACAAACCATGTACCTGGGGCCAAGCCCAGGGCAGGAGCCCCACCTTTTTTGGGAAAAAAATCCATCCGCCAACCCTCAACCCGGAAAATTGCTGGACTGTGTCCATGAGTCAAACAGTGGAAGGAGATGGTTTTGGGTCAGTCCCCGCTCCCGCGTTGCGCACCTCTCACTCCATTCCTCTTGCTTCAGGAAGGTCCAATCATTGGGTGACAGGGGCCAACCAAAGGGAGACGCCTCCACTGCTGGGAGAAATGGAACTGTCATAATCAAAGGCAACCAACAAAGGCAAGCTGGTAGCGACTCTTAAATGTCCCAATTAAAGCTTAGCCGCTTAGCCAAAGTCTGATTTTTTGGCGCCTCCTCAAGGTATGGTGACCTGGAGAGAGTCGGACAGGTACCAATCAAGCCAGACACGACCTGGCGCGAACATCGAGAGTTTCCCCACCAGAAATGTAGATCGTTTTCATTGGGAAACCAGGTGTTTTTTCATGTTTTTTTCCATATCTATCTTGATTTACTGGAGGGAGATTATATTATTTATATATATAGATAGATAGATAGATAGATAGATAGATAGATATCCGTGTGCGTAATATGTGTCTGTGTGTGTGTATGTATCTATGTGTTATTGTATTCTATTATGTCATCTTGTGTTACATTATGTCATATGGTACTCTATTGACTCTATTACACTATCATAGTTAAAGGGTAGGAATAAGCATGAACAGCGGGGAATGATAGATATCAGCAAGACTGTTTATGTTATTTTTGGGTGTTCCATAACCCAAAAAGGGGGGAACATTGACCCGAACTAAATACCGACTCAATGGGACAGGTTCCAAAGGACATGGGGGGGGCAAAGGGTTTGGAAACTAAACATGAATAAAGACAGGTTGGAGCATCGTCGTATTCAGAATTGTTTGGTACATGTTGGTCACATTTGAGCACCTCAACACAGGAGGCGAGGATGGAAACTGAATTAGATGTTGTGGCAAACCTCAAATCCTCCCCATATGTTCTGCAATTGAAACGATAAACGGACTCCACCAACCTGTCAATTTCAGAAAAACATTGGTATGGGTAGAACCCTGCTACCCTGGGTTCAGGCCCGACGGACGTTGATCCCCCAAGATTATGGTACAATATCATGGGAATTCGGGATTCAGCCCCAGGTGATCCTCCCCGCTGGTTGAGAAGCCCTTCTAAACGTGGATCACCGGGTCGTTGAATCCCATCCTCTCCCGCCTGGCAAAGGCCAGTGAAAGTCACAGCCTTCGCCAACGCCATTGCAGCACCTCCCAGGTCTGGAAAGTCCGTGAAGCTGAGCCCCCCAGTACATCCCAATACAATAAGCCCATCCCCTTGGTATTAAACACCGGCATTGGCTGCCTGGCGTGCCGGAGCAGCTGGCAATAACTGGCGGCTGGTGGCCCAGCCGCCGCAGGAGCCAAGATGGCTGCAGGCGTGAAAGTTGGATCAACCTTCTAAGAATTTCTCTCTCTCTCTCTCTTTCTCTCTCTCTCAACCATCTGCCATCTGTCAAGCAGCCGCCCCAAAGCTGGTGGGGGACCCTATGGGAAGGTCCTCAACCTTCCGGGCCTTCGGGGCCTCGGCGATAGGGACCACATGGGATCATCATCATCATCATCATCATCATCATCATCATCATCATCATCATCATCCAGGTGGCCCCTAGATATCTAAGTTGGTGAACATATCTAACGGAACTAGGCTAAAAAGGGCAGATATATAATCATAGTTCATGGGGGTGAAAGCAACTTATAACTGGTGGGGCCACCTTGTATCATATCTTGCGGGTGAAGATCCATAAAGCATCATAAATTCCAGCTCTCTTGTGCTATGTTATACTAGCGACAACCAGGGAATTCCATTGGTTTTGAGTCATACCCACATCAGGACGTCGTGACAAAAACCGTCAAAAACCCAACAAGCACATCGTGACACCTTGTGGCACACGTGATACCCAGCAGTCAAAGGGCCTTTGCCACGCCGCTGGCCATTAGCTTTGGCATGTCGGAAAACGGCGAGTTTCGAGGTCGCCAAAACTACAATGATGGACCCTGACTACTTATGAAGTCTTAGGAAATGGGCTATTTACATGTTGTGATCAAGAACTAAGTGATACCACCCAATTACATTGGGTACTAAAGATCTCTCGTTGATATTCAGTATGCTCAGTGGTCAACATGGACCTGTTTGCGTCCAGGACATCCAGCCTGGATGATCAGCACAGCGTATGTTGTTTCAATAACTGGGATCAACAAACACGAACTTATCATTCAAAACCTGATCAACGAACGGAGAACCGAAGTAAGAAAATTAGAGGAATATATCGGGATTGTATTAATATCAACATATATATCGACATATATCAACAATCTTTGTTGATTAATATATCAACATATGTCAACTATAAACAGGATTGTACCAACTATTCACCCCTACCAGGCTAGACGTCTTCGCTCACTCGGCGCAAAGATGGTTCACCTGGCCACTAGATTTTGCCATGGTCGAATCATGTCAAATCCATCCTCCAACCATGGGATTCATAAGGATCGAATCGGTACCCTTATAACGGCTATTAAATCTCTGTTATACTATAATGGGTATAAGGGGTTGTAAATGGTTGGATAAATAGGATACATACCATCATAGATTCGAATGTCAGTATGCAAATAAAATACTTCCCCGGAAACCGTGGTTTTGCCTTAAATTTTGTCCATTTTACTGGGCCATATCGGTGGTATTTAATAATTAGGAATGGATTCATAAGTAACCTTATACATTAACATAAAATGCCCTCCACGAAACCTGGTTTTTGCATTGGATCATCCTGAACCGAAGAACTCAGGGACCGAATTGGAACGTTTGGTGCAGAAAAGCGATCGTATCGCTGTGGGTTCATGGGCAGAATAGCTAAACTCCTTCAACTACAAGACCCAAAAAAAAAGATTTTACGATTACATGATATTATACGTCTCTCTCCCCTGTCTCTAGAGAAAAGAATTTTTATATATTTTTTTCTCCCATTCTCCCCCCCTCCCTCCCCCCTCCCTCCCTCTCTCTCTCTCTCTCTCTCTCTCTCTGAAAGAAAACGCATACATATGTGCCTACATTATATATGATACTATACTATGTGTATATATATATATATACAGTGTATATATATATATACCAACATACTGGTGGTCTTTCTTAATTATATAATCAATTCCGCTTCTACCAGGTCAAGCAGGGCATAGCAGCTTGTGGCTGCAGGCGCTCGATCCTCTTTGTCTCTGGCAGGCTGCATCTTCTGATTGGCAGGATGGTCTGCAGAAATGTTGGGCAAGAATAACCTCAAAAGCACGCTGCGTCACCGTCGAAGCTCAAATTACGGCACTCACCACCTGAATCCGCATCTTTCCATATCTATAGGCATGTCATTTGTACTTTGTATGCGTCATGTCATTTCATGTCGGCAAAAATAGAATCAAACACATATGATATACTGCAAATCATCTCCAGATATCTATATCTATATCTATATCTATATCTCTATCTATCTATCTATCTATATCTCTATCTATCTATCTATCTATCTATCTATCTATATACATATGCATATATACCTACATCATAACATATATATGTATATGTATAAATGTATACATGTATATATACATATATGATGTGTATATAGTAAATGTATGTATAGTAAATGTGTGTGTGTATCATGTATCTCCATGATGCTCCACAGCGGTGATCGGCGGAAGTTGCTCCAAGGCACCCAAAGCGAAGCTGCTCCGGTCCACCGTGGCAGCTGCTAATAGTGGCAGCCCCAGGAACAACAACCTGTGGGCTTTTCGGCCATGGCGTTGCTACTGTATTTAAAAAGAATCAAAAGCCAATAGTTGACCATTGGCTGTAGAATTTGGCGAAATTGGTTCATTTGGTTCAGTTAATGATAGTTAATGATAGTTACTAATGATAGTTACTATTAAGTATTAATTAACTATCATTAACCACTTTGAATGGTCAAGACTACATGGTCAAGTTGCTTGATCCATGTTGGGATGAATGATGAGTATGGAGTGATCATGCCCGACAGCCCTTGCCCCTGAAGCCCAGCAGCCAAAATGCCGCTGTCCGGCGGAAACAGACTGACTTGGACTCGTAGCCTGTGGATCAAATGATCCCAGGGTGGGGTTGACAAACTTTAGGACTTTATCTATCAGTTTGTCGTCACCTCATCCCTTTTGATAATTCATCTTCATCTTCATCTTCATCTTCTCCTCCTTCTTCTTCTTCTTCTTCCTCGTCGTCGTCGTCCTCGTCGTCGTCGTCGTCATCACCATCCCGAGCGTCACGTTCACTGCACCCCTAACTGTCAGCATACTCTGAAGTTTGGGACCAGTGGTTGAAGCTGAACAAAAAACAAAATGAAGGAAGCCTCCCCTGGTACCAAGGGACATTTCATTGATACAGGGGGGTTCTTTAACTGGGGGATCCAACAAAACCACGGTCGTCCATGACTTGGATGATGTCACGGCTGAAGGGAAATCCCCGTTGAAACACACCAAACGGCTTTGATGAGTCCCCTTTCAATAGCGGCAATATGGCAAACCCGAAATTATAGCTTCACCACATAACCAGACAATTTCCCCCCCAGCCCCAAAACAAAAGGAAAACTGAAGATCCAGAATCTAGAGACCCTCACCTGGCAGGTGGCCAAAAAAAAAACTCCGATCATCGCCATCCAAGCTGCTCTGATCCAACAGAGAAGGCTCAGCCTTCGAGTCCCAGCGGTCGCAGTTTCGCTGCAAATCCTGCGCGGCAAAAAAAAGATGATACGATGACATGACATGACATGACATGACATGACATGACATGTGATATGTGATATGTGCTATGTGATATGATATGAATATGTGGAATGGCTACCCTCTGGTAATTGAACATAGCTATTGAAAATGGCCCATTTATAGTTGATTGTGCTATTAAAGTGGTGATTTTCTAATAGCTATGTTGGCTTACCAAAGGGTATCTAACCAACAAAAATGCTGGTATAGAGTGTGGATATAGTGGAATAGTACTTGGATGTGAACGGAATATTGGGTGATGCCCTCAGTGGAAAAAACCATTCACTTTCCATTCTGAATAGCTCTGAAATGGGGGCAATCCATGATACAATCATCCAGTGCATATGCAAAATAAATTTCGAATGGGCAATATCCAAACAATCATACGTCCACTCGGACACAATATCAATCATATTGGCTGGATATCATATCACATCAAACGTATTCTTCCTTGACATGTTGCACTTCCTCTTCCTGGCTACCGATCAGTTCCAGACAGATTTGGAGCTTCCCGGTGCGAGAACAAAAACTTGACCGACAAATCCCGGAAGAATAAAAAAATTGGCGTTGATATGCGTTGATGATCCAAAACATGTAGCCACATCCCAATACAAATTGCTTGCCCTACTGTTTTGATGCAATTTCCCTTCTGTGCAAATCTGGCAGCCATGACGCAATAGCCCCAGCCTCCCATCTTCTCCATTCTCATCTCATCGACGTGACCCCTTCTTAGTCTCTTAGTCTCAAGTCGGTTCCAGGCGTTCAACCCCCCCAATGTTTGGGGTTTTCTTGTGTTTGATACACATTTTTCCGTACAATCTGGGATTGCCTGGAAAGGCTACCCTCGAATTTGATGTTTAATCATGTTCATCGCAATGTTCCGCGTGCACATGGCCAAAACTGGTGGTTAATCTTTTCAGACAATATCCCAATTACAGTATGTCCAATTCTATCCCCGCATCGTTAGTTATAAGATATATTCCCCATCACCATTCTATTCTCATTATCTATCCATCCATCCATCCATCCATCCATCAATCCATCCATCCATCCATCCATCCTATTGCCGATCTTTCCTGCAACCATCCAGGCATTCATTGTTGCCCAAAAAAAAGCCCGCGCTCCTGACACGTTTCCAACTGGGCCTCGAAGTGATGACGTGGCGAGTCGTCCTGGAGCCCAGGATGCATGGAAAAAACACCCAGTTTACTGGGGGATTTCACCAAAGAAACATTGGGATTTCACAGGTTTTAACCATCAAACATGATTGGAAAATGGGGAAAAAAATGGAAAAAACTGACCTTGAACCGGGGATTCAATGGATCCGGTTTACCTTGACCAACAGGTTTGTGGGATGACGGGGGTACCCCACAATCATAAGCAGGAAGATTTAAAAACTGGTCAAGAAACCACAGAATGGACTAAAGTTCCAAAGGTTTGTGGCTTTCACCCCAATCCTCTAGACTTATCATGTTTACTATACGTCACATCTGACATAGTACTGATTTATATTGATGTCTCTCCATTTCTCTATCATTTGCTGTAAAAATGTTCAATGACTCCCACTATTTATCATGTAAACACCCACAAAAACACCGTTAAACACAACGATGTCAAAACGAGGGCTCCTTTCGGTCCCGGTCCATACGCTCCAACAAGAGGGCAGCACAGTAGGTGCAGTAGACATAGTCCGCCAGCTCGCCGAACCTGCTGAAAAAGCAGCTGGATTTCACAGATTTCACCAAGAAATTGGGCAAAAAAAACCTCTACCCTCTGGTAAACTAACATAGCGAACTGGAAAATCACCATTATTAATGGGAAAATCCACTATTAATTGAAAGTCTACCCCGCAAGAATTGAGAGTCAACATGAATGAAGCCTCCAAAAAGCGCCCTGTTTTCAGCCGAAAGTCATGTTGGGGCTTGTTTTTTACCAGCCATGGCTAGCCATCGTCGCCGGAGTGGAACCATCTTGACATGCGATGGATTTGGGTTTGCTGCGACTGGTCAAAAAATGGGCAGATTTTGGCAGTTTGACCATGTTTGACCCACGGAAAAACCATGACGAAGCTAACTTGCTCCAAGCGTCTGAGTGAAGTTTGGTTTTTCGATGATCAAAGATGCCAGGACGGTGCATAAGAAACCTGCCATTGGATGTGGGGTATCTTAAAAATCTGGGTGATTCTAACATGTTAATACATTTCGTGGGTGGTCCATTCCAAACATCATCCGAACTATGGAGATTTGTTCGGCTAAGCAATTTCAACTTGGGATTGAGATTTGACATTTGAATTACCCTCTGGTAATTTAACATAGCTATTGAAAATGGCCATTTATAGTGGATTTTCCCATTTAAAAATGGTGATTTTCCATAGCTATGTTAATTTACCCGAGGGTAACTTCCCAGCGGAACCGCCTTTGAAGTAGTCCCAAAGCGCCGCAGTGGGCCCAACTGCAAAGGACAGAAGGAAAAGCATCACCTCCAATCGGTTGATGACATCGCCATCTTTGGATGACACGTCTCCGAGAAAACATGACAAGACAACACAAAAAAGATCACGACACGTCACATTTACATCATATTATACATAAACACGTATGTATATATATATACCCATCATATCATCACAGGCCATTACATACATGACATTACACACATAACACTGCGTACATTATATTACATACATTGCGGTGTCTTCTGGTGTCAACAAATGCAGTGCCTCATACCAGGAGAATAGGCAAAGACCTCATCCGCGGCGGTTTCTCGGGCGAAATGTGACGGTGTTTGGGTTCACAAAGAAGAGCTACGGAAAGACCCCCTCTATTTAACATAGCTATGGAAAAAGCACCATTTCTAGATGATTTACTTATATTTACCGATTTACCTATTAAATGAGCCATAGAGTGAATAACCATATGATAAATCCGCTTACTGCATCACCTACACTAACTCTCCTTTTTGGATTAGAGGTTGGATGAGATTGGTACCAAGAATGCTAGCCATCTGTGGCTTTTCAGCGCCCTGAGAAGCCAAATCTTGGTGGTGTAGCTTTCATTGTTCCAACTGAAGGAGGTGCAAACCACTTGGGAAGTCTGCTTTTGCCCGTGCACCTGGGGATATTCCATATATGACGGGGTTAATGTGGTTATTACCAACAATAAGCTATCCCCGACAATATATATATATATATATATGGGTGGTAAGTTAACTATCATCCCCAAACGGTAGGTCTGTTAGGTTTGCCACATTAATCTGGTCCTTATCCACTTGCTAAGTGGGATTTGTTTGCCTCGTTGAACGCCACCATCTTGTGGAAGTTTTGCCAAGCCACATCTGATTTGGACTCCTTCCCCATGTTGGTTCAGCAAGCAACGCTGTGTAAAGAGTCCTGAGCTAGGATGCCCCAATGAAAATCAATGAAATCATTTGTGAACGCTATAGGAAAACAATGAAACACTCATCCATGAAATACATCTATTAAAAAAATGGAGAATGTTCCGTCATCAGGTTAGACTACCACAAATCCACCAAAGGCTAATACATGATGCCTCAAGCATCCCCCCTCAATTTTTTGTGCCTTATCGGCTGATCACATGGCATGCCCAAGCATCGGGTCACAAAGTGTGCCAGAAGGACTGAGCAGAGAAAGCTGGCATAGGTCAGCACGGGCCAAATGCGTTGCGCGTGGACACTGCGAACCTCGGCCTTAGTGAACTGCTGGCGACCCTTTTTCTCTCGTGGAAGTGCCAGTGATATCCACCTGATATCCACTGCTCGGATGGATTTTGGTGACTCCGAGCAGTTGGCAGATGTGGGTCTACAACGGTTTACCCTCTGGAAATTTGACATTTATAGTGGATTTTCCGATTTTCCCATTAAAAATGGTGATTTTCCATAGTTATGTTAGTTTACCAGAGGGTATCATGTGAAAAACGATGGAAAATCTTGGACCCCATCAAGCCATCGAGCATCATGGAGCCCAGCGACTGGTTGACTCACAATGACCAAACACCCGCAGGTGAAAGAGAACATCCTCAGAACATCCAGGCCTTCCGTGAGTCAAACGATGTCAAACGGTGTCAAACGGCTCAGGCTCAACAGGGCACAGATTGTGGATGAATTTGGATCACTTTAGATCTATCATATATAATATGATATAATATGTATATGCAATGTGTACATATACATATATATATATATGTAGGTGTGTGTCTGTGCGTGCATACATTTTGGGGTACCCCCTTTTTCACGCGCAACTATAGCGGACCCATGACCCCTGACAGTTCCTAGCTTGCAATGAGCAACATCAAAGCAGCTGGTTGTTGTGGGCTTTCATCCCTGGTTTTGACCAGTCCCTATGTGACAAGGTGCAAGACCAGGATCCAGGATGCGTAAAAGAAATGCCAGAAAACCTTAGAAAAATCCATAGCTCAGGCACAAAAAATGAAGACTTGCAGCCAGCAACGTCTCTGTTTAATGCTGAGACCACGGCAATGCCAGGGAAGTACATGGCATAGACCAAACCTGAGCAAATCTAACTCACTGACCACACGATATGCCATTTTTTCACGAAACCGTGGACCACGCAGATCACTGGAAACAAACCCAGACTGTTCCCGTGGGTTTAAAATAGGGCACCTCCAAAATCCATCAAAATCCCGTGATTTATCATGCTCTATGATTAGTTGCCCCTAATATCCCCTAATAAGATATGGTAAAGGGCCCCAACTTGGGGCATCCCCAGGTACCAAAGCCACCAAGAGCTCCGCCGAGCGGCTGGTGCGGCCCATGCGCTTCAAGTCATTCAAGTCGGGCCCGCAATACGACTCCTTGGTGGCCGCCAACGATTTCGGCATCGAAAGGTGTGTCATACATTCAGAACATATAGACATCGATAGTTATAGATTTGTGAGAATATATATTATTTATTTATTTGTTTGTTTACAGGTACAGATATAATAATTAGATAATTGTAGACTTTTAGATACATACTGATACATAGCATATGTTTATATATATATATATATGTGTGTGTATGTATATCTTGAACACCTAAGTTTTAACTAAAAGGTAGGTACCGGGTGGGGGCTACACCCGGTACCTACCTTTTAGTTAAGTTAAAACTTAGGTTTTCAAGATATGACTATGTTTTTGCAGACAATGTATACAATGGCGGAAATTGTTGTTCTTTGAGCAGTGTATGCTGATGGTGGAGGCATGTTATATTATATATATATACATACATATGTATGGTACCCCCTCTCGAAACTACTGCCAAACTCCAACAATGTAAATCAGTCACAAACCCAAGTAAATACCAATGAAAACCAATAAAAGTATAGAAAAGGTAGGTACCGGGTGTACCACATATATACATATATAACATACAGCCCACATACATACATATATACATATGTTGGTATATTATATTTTACCATATTATATGATATGACTTTATGTTGTATTATATTATATACTAGATATACATAGATATACTTTTTTAAGAGAGATATAAACCATTATTATATACAACAGTATATCTAGATATATCTAGATATACTGTTGTATAATATACCATGTTCATGATTAATATACATTAATATACCATATGTTAATATACCATATTAACAACAAAAAATGATATGTTAATACCATATATATACCATATATATACGATATATATACCATATATACTATGTATATACCATATTAACCATATGATGTCAATGATGACTTCACAAAAAAATGCCATCATCGAGGCGCTGGGACCTCGCTGCTGCCGTGCCCAAAGAGCACATTCCTCGGCAGCGCCAGGATCTGCCGTCGGAGCTTCACGTGGCGCAGCATGTTGTAGCACCTGGGGCACCCGCACCGGGGGCTCCCGGCGGATACCATGGGAAAACCATGGGTGGAACATGGTGGAACCATGGGAACCTGGGGATTTCACCAAGATCCACTGGAAAACTGGGGAGTTCAACAGAAAAAATTATGAACTGGGGGGTTTTGAAGTGATTTAACCAGGGATTGAACGGATTTCACCAGCGGGATTCTTGGGCATTGTTGGCGGCTGGGCTGGGCTGGAAAAAAATATGAGGATGTGATTTCAGCGCCTAAGAACTGGGAAACTCGAAGCAACTAAAATATGGTTCTGCTTCACAAGCATGGAGGTTCAAAGCAACAAATCTCCTATTCCAAAGTTGTATGGGGATTGTCTCTCAACCGTTTCAAAAACAATTAAATCCTTTATTGCTGTGGGAGGGTGCAGATTCGGACCGCAACTTAAGGCATTGTTTACATTTACATGTGTGGGTCCAATGGTCCACTTTTGGATGATCAGTGCACAGTGGTATTTTTTGGGGCGACAGCGGCCATAGGACCCATGTTCATCAAGGTACATCCTATCCCCAACAAAAAATACGTCTCCCTATATATATGGCCAGGTTTTCTGATGTTTTCTGTGTGGGGGCATTGTTGATTGTTGAGGGGAAGGGATATATTCTTACGACTTTTTGTTTCATCTGGTGCCGCGTGGGATTTCAGACCCATTCGGACCTGATTTCGGCTGTCCGTCAGCTGCGGCACTTCTGACCGTATACCAAACTTTGGACAAAAAGTTGTCATATGCTCCAGCTGCACAGGGCACAGGCAACAAATTGGCAACCATACATAAATTGGGAAACCAAACGCAAAGGAGAGTTCAAATGCGTGTTCAATCCTTTTGTGGAATGCAAGGAGCTTCAAATTGCAACTGCTGGTGTAGACATGTTGCGCAGACTACTATCTCTTCCAAAATTGTTTGTCATCTTGTGACCAAAAAATAGGTCCTATACGGTCCTATATCTTTACAGCTTTTGGTTGCCCAGCCAAGCATGGTTGCACTGCTTTGCAGTCATGAATCAAGCAGGGGATGTTTCTCCCAAACCTGTTCAGGTTCGACGCCTTCTCAGGTCCCGGTCCCGCTCAGGCAGTAGCAAAGATTCAACGACATCTGGATGGCCGCGATACTTGGCAATTTGAAGCGGGGACACCCCTCTCCTTGGATTGAGGCAATCGCAAAGGAATAGTTTCCACTGTTTCCACTAAACATCACTGCACAAAAGAGGCAGTTTCTATCTGGAAACCATGCATCTCCCGGCACAAAAAACCTCGTAGCCTGCACCATAACCAGCTTCATCTCCCCATATCTTTACACAACCAAAATACGGGTTTGTCTGAAAACATAGTGCCCCCAACACGGCTGATCATCATGTACCACAATAAAAAGACCCATTTTGGGGCTGCCCCCATCTCAGGACAAACCTGACTATCAGCCATATCTTCAAGTTCAAACCACCAAGCCTCTTGTTCACCTTGTCACAGTCGGCTCCTGCCTTGACCAAAATTTTGACAATCTCTAAGTTGCCATGGTCCGCGGCGGTCCACAGTGGAGATGTCCCTTGCTCATCCACCCAGTTCTGCGGGGACCACGTGGGACCACAGGTTGAATGAAAGACACAAAGACACCTTCCGAAAAATCAGACATCGCAATGAACAATTCCCCATTTATTATTGATGTTCCCGGGTGGAAATTACCGGAGGGCTCCAAAATTGGACCCATGTTGATGTTTCCCCTTGGCATTGTTTGCTGATATCTGCTTTGTTCTGAGTGTTACCTACCAAACCGGAGAGTTTGCTGTTGCAGGGTTTGAGTTGCAACCCCAATAAAGACCCTAATGGTAAGTTTTGTTGGTCCTGCTCATCATTTTGGATGTCCTTGCCATTTTCCAATACCTATATTTTCCCTCAATATTCCCACATCTTCGGCCCCTTTCCCCTCCTTGTCAGCACCGGCTTCAAGTAAGAGCTGCGCAATGTAGCCGGAACGTCCCAAGTCAGCTGCGTACCAGAGAGGAGATTTCCCTTCTTTATTCAGCACGTTTGGATTGGCACCTGATTTAAGGTGAGCAATTGATCAATGATAAAATGGAACCCCGAAACCCATCGAAACCCTGGCTTTTACCCCCAAATGGAGTGATTAGATGTTCCTTTCCATTCAGATTCGGATGATTCGGATGATTCGGAGAGGTGAATGTTTAAAAATTGATGTGATGCGATTAGTTAGTTAGATACCGATACCAATGAAACCATGTAATATTGGGTCATGGGGCCTATGAAACCTAAGTGCAAGGGTGCCTCTTGTCACCCTGAAAAACCGCGTATATCAGGTTGAAACATGCCAACGCATTGGTGGAAAAACAACAGGTTTTCAACAGGTTTTTGCAACAAAACTTGGGGAGTTCCACCGTTGTTCAAAAGACTTGCCCAGACAAACAGGAAACGATGCTCAAGTGCAAATGGGTCTGCGGAAATCTGGATGGTCCGGTCCACATTTTCCAATATTTTCCCATTACAACTACTAGAAACATCTATGGGCATTTCCCCCGCTTGCCAGGTTTGATTGCAGCCCCACCTGCTTCGAGCAACACCTGCAGCACCTCTGCTTTTCCTCCGCCCACCGCATGCCACATGGCGGCCGACATCGTCTCCTCTCCATCAGTCCGGAGGCCAAACAAATGATTCTAGGTATAAGCAAAAGACTAGAAAAGCAAAAAAAAAGTTGGATGAATGGATACAGTAGATACAAGAGATGGACATAGATGGACAATATATCTCACTCATACATGTAAAAAAATATTATACAGTATACATACTGACATTGCGTGTCATCGCTACATTGCACTATATACATTGCATTTACGTTGGTGTTTACCTTTACATTTGCATTTGCACTATATTATATAAATTACATTACATTATATACGTTACATTACATTACACTACACTACATTGCATTAGAGTACTGTACTGCACTGCACATTACATTTACATGTACATTGCAGTACAGTACATTACAGTGCAGTACAATACATGGTGAATCTTAGATTACCTGTCAGAAAATCTCTATATATATATACATGATATGTATATATATATATTCGCCGGTTAGTACATTTTGCCATTGATAGCAAAAGATAAAAGTACTAGACTATCGAACCAAGGTTGACCCAGGTTATCCCAGATTACAGCATTTTACATTACAGTCCATTGCGGTGCAGCACAAGACATGAGAGCACAGCACTTTACATTACAGTACAATGCAGTACATTACATTACAACACATTGCTTACCCCATTTATGGAAACCCCAAACATGTGCGTTTCTGTGTCTGCGCTTTTCGACAGATCTACAGATTGACTGAGGCAGCGGTGTCCTCACTTCTTTCCACGCCGGCATTCAGCAAGAGGCGTACGATTTGCCGATTGCTGCAACCTGAGACCCTGGGAGATGGAGATGATAAGGGCCCCAGGCCCCAGGGCCCCTATGATGAATGGATTCAATACTAAACTGATGAGTTTCGTTAGGTCTTTGAGTATTAGGGGCTCTCTGGATTTCCCGATGATGAAATACGGAATTGTGTAATAATATGATATGATATGTAAGACGATTGAGATAGATGTGACATACAGGTATCGCGCAAAGGAATGCACAAGCACCCAAAATCAAAAAATCGAAGCATCTCAAAACTTCACCACGCCAATGTGGCAGCTAAGTCCAAGACATGTTCGTTGTTTCATTGCAGTCAATTGGTATCATGACCCCATTTTAAGGAGCGGAAACAATGAACTCTTTTGAAACCACCAAACACTTGTATTGATGAATTGCCTCTACACTCTACATGCTTGTCATGTTGTATCCCAAGAATGTTGGTTGCATCATGTTGAATCTCCCAGAGAACAAGTCACCGGACACCAGCTCCGGCTTCTTGGCGTTCGCCTTCAATAAGACCTGCACAGCCTCGGTATGGCCGCCTTCACAAGCGGCTTGGATGGGCGTCTTGCCGCTCATGGGCGTGTTGAAGCTCATGGGCGGTTCGTCCACGTCTGCCTTGGCCTGGCATCGCGGCTTTCTCCGCCACTGGCATCGACAAACTGGGGTCAAAGGGGACTAAGATCCACGAAGATGGCACTGCCATCTAAGACCAACAAAACCTTACTTTTTGATAGTTGCAATATATGTCTGTATGTATGTATATGAATATTTTTGTAGTTTGTGAAATGTGCATTGCTTAGTTTCTAAAAGGAAGGCAACTAATAGGATGGCAGCCACTCCCAAACCCAAACGCGGGATAGTTTTCTGAAGGGAAGCAAGACAAAGATGGCGCCGCAAGATTCAAAAAACTGAGGCCACCCAAAAGCGATCAATCTCTCTGCGATCAACTGCATGAAAGAAGTGGTTTTGCGGCCCTGGGTGCCATCGCGGCAGTATCGCGGCTTCTTGCCGCATGAGGTAACGCCGCAAAAACGCCAAAAAACTATTGCCGCCCAAAAGTGGTCAATCTCCTACTGCTTCCTTTGTGAAAATGGTGGTTTTCGATGGCATGTTTCTTGGGCAACCCCTCTTTCTTTTGGTCATGAATATCCACCTATTTATGCAGATGCCATCTATTTGTTTCGATTGCATGTCTGTAGGCATCGTGGCAATAACCATCTGTGCCGATGCCGTCTGTGGGTTTGGATTGCTAAAAATCTGGATGCAATCTATTTGTTCCAAATGTCGGTTGTTTTGCCTGCGAACAATCGACAGTAGGTTTTGTGTGGATGGCTAGTTTTTTTATAATTTTTGGCGGCCCCATACTTTTCACTATTCTGGTACTCTTCCTATTAAGTATTGTCACTATTACTCTTACTATGATTATTGTTATTATCTCTCTTACTGTTATCATTATTACTCATAGCTGTTAGTATCATTATTAGCCATTCGGGAGAACATCATCCCGTGTCTATGGTTGAAAATTGCAAGACATGTTTGAAACCACCATGAAGTAGACTGCTTGAAACCTGAATATATATTCTCGGGAGAAATTATGGAAACCAGCACATATGGGGGGAACTACCCAAGAGTGAGGTATAGCCTATTGGAAACTGATAACAGGGCTGGTGAAACGGATATTACAGGCTCACTCTTAGGGCACCAACTCACCAACAAAATTGTCAAAAACATGTTTTTCTTTTTTATCCTTAGGTGTGTCAGACTATCCATTTTGGGCGGCGAACCCCTGAGCCACACCCAAATGCTCCATTTCAACTTGATGTTCAGAAAATCAGAAATTCGAAATCATCACTCTCTGACCAAGGTTCCCCCTTCACTAACAGGTCAGCTGAGTTTTCGTCCAACTCCCAGATAAACATCCGATCATTCACATCAGAGGCTGTTTTTTTCAACGCACCGATACATCGTGCCTCGATCAGCAGCAGCACGATCTCCCAGTGCCCCAGCCTGGAGGCTTCAAATAAAGCGGGCTCGCCATCAGAAATACCACATTTCGCGGCAGCGTTGGCCTTGGCATCGATCAGCATCCTGCCGCGCGTCTTTCACAACGGCACCAATTTGTCGCATTTTTCATGAGTCAGTGAACCATGGTCCCCCTTTTTTTGGATGGAACCTGGATGGAAGCATAGCATAGCATAGCATAGCAATAAATGTTCAATACCCTCTGGTGAACTAACATAGCAATGGAAAATCACCATTTTTAATGGGAAAATCCACTATAAATGGCCATTTTCCATTGCTATGTTAGTTCACCAGAGGGTATGTGAAAATGTGTGAACCTCCCATGACCAGTCAGACATCGCCACCCCAAAAAGCGCCCGCCTGACGCAATCTCTGTGGCCACCCGCCGAGGCCAGCTGCAGACATGAGGGGTTGGTACAGGTGAAGTCGGGCCAACCCAATCGTTGCCTCCAATCTATGAAGACATTGGGATCCACTGGTTTGCTCCTTGGCTTTGCTTGGCTAAGCGGCTAAAAAAACCGAATGACAGTGAATTTAAAGGAGCAACTGAACAAACTGGCCGCTGCTTGATTTTGGCGATTTTAAGGGGCCTCAAAAACCAATCACCATCTTTCCATCGAATTTCCACATCCGGAATGTGTTGATATATGACTAACGGGAACATGACAAATCACCAGAAAATCCAAGGCTCAAGATCTCATCCAACATCGCCGTGTCACCATTCTTCGCAGCTGTGAACAAGCTCTGGCGCTCCGTGGGCGTTGGCGCGACATAGTCTAGCCGCAGCATCTGCAGGTCCAAGGGTGGTCGCAACTCCGACAACAAGTCCTCTCTTTGGTCATGTTGAGCCAACCGAGGCACAAAAAAAAGGTGCTCTCTCAGGAAAATCATCTCCAAGTCTCAATAGATCCCAAGATATCGAAAGCGAATGGCATTAGGCATGGATAAAATGAGCCTGATATAAGCCTGTTTTCCTGCAACAGGCATGATTGACCAAAGATAGGGCACCAATGGACCCAGAAAATGAGCCGTGTTTATCATGGAATCATCTAGTTTGACCCTTACTCATTTTCTGTACTGCTCTATGTGACTGGAAATATGGTGAAATATGTCCATTGTGAATTGTGCGCAAATTCAGCGAATGAACTCATTTTCCTGAAACATCCTGAGACAATATGGGGAAAAAATAAAACGACGACAATTATACCCTCCCCCAAATGAACATAGACCCTGTCAAATAGATGCCGAACAGGGGGTTGGAAGATTCGTTTCCACCAAAAACTTAGGATTTTCCGGGTCTATGTTAATTTGGGGGCTTGTTTTTTGGGTTTTTGAATGGATCTGAGAACGACTTCAGCTCCTGATCTTGAAGGACTCTGCCTTGAGTCACCAGCTTGACCTTGTACCTGGACTCTCCGCGCAACTCGGCCAGGTGTTGCTTCAGAACTCGCACCGAATCACCATGAGACGACGCCAGCTGCTCCAGTTGCTCTGGCTCAAGGGCACAGATCAACTCTCCTGAAAGCTGACGGATCACCACCAGACTCGAATCTTTCGACACGGACTCCACGGCAGGATAAAGCACCAAATGCAACATCGCGATCAAGGGAAAACGCGGGCCGAAAACGGAAAGAATAGAAACAAGAACTGCGGTGAATGTTAATACTGTTAATGTTGTACATGTGTGTTGAAAATGTTTGTCAATGTTTGTCAACTACACACACTGCTTTTTTCTCTGGCGCGGCAACAGTTTGGGCCACAATGCATCCAGGACAGGCAGAAGCCAAGCGGATCCACTTCCTTGCCGGATCAGGTCGTGAAGTTGGTTGCACAGGTGCCGCTCCAGGTATGGGTTAGGACCGATTGAGAACGCCTGAGATTGGATGATCAATACAAAAAAACGGCCAAAGACGGCCAAAGATGCCAAAGTCAGTTTCCGAGCCCTGGGCAATGACCCACATCCAGTCCCCGGCCCAAGGCAGCCCAAGGCACACAGCTAACAGGAAGACCGCCAATTGCAGGCGGATGGACAAGATCAGCAGCACATCGATCAGGGAAAATGGATAAAGCCTTGGTTCTGGCACCAATTTTCATCCATTTTCACTGGGACAGTCTTCACATCCGCAGAGGTTCCGGTCCGAGGCTGATCTGCATGTGAGTCGCTTCAACATCTCTGCCAGGCGGACACCATGCCCTTCTGCAATCCTGCTGTGGGCTGGCAGCCCTCGATGCTGATGCAGGGCGAGGTTTGTCTGAAAAGTGTTGGACCACCCCAAAATCCATTGGCGTATCATGATATATATATATATATATCATGATGTATCATGATTTTCACCCTGCTAAATTTGGGGGGCACACCCTATTTGCACACGCGCCCGAAAAGGTTTGAAACCCAGAGCCATTGCCAGGCCCAGTCCAGTTGACGGCCAGCTCATTCGCCAGCACGGTAAAGCCTGACTCGCAGTCTTGTTGGGGCGCGACCCAGGTGGAAATATTCAGCAAGGGCATGATGCCCAAACCTGACACATCTCTCAACCATACATCCCCAAAAGAATGGTTGAGACCAATGGCTGGGAGTTAGTGTCATACCATACCACCTGGCTTTTAAAAATAAATCCAGCAACCTGAAGTAAGATCATTTTGGGCTTACCTTTAGTGACTCACCATCAAACCAATCAAATCCTTCGCCCAAGCCGCTGGCCAGCAGTCAAGTCACCTACCTGTAGAAGACTTGCCATCAACAGCCCAACGCCCACACGAGAGCTGAGCAAATCCAATGCCTTTTGAACCTTTTCCCTCAAACCTCAGGATGGGAATTTGCCAGCGGCTTGGTCTGTGGTCAAAAATCAAAATTCAACCAACAAGCATTCGGATCTGGATTGCTGGAAGGGAAAGTGACAACCAAAACCATAGTTTTTTCCTTTATATATATATATAGATGCGGGGGCTTCCTGCAAAGGGAACATTCAACCAAACCTGGGAAGGAAGGCTCGGCCCTGGCAGGGGCCAGTCCACCCTAGCCACCCCATCCCCATGGCCACGCAAGCGGTCGAGGAATGCCGGAATGTCAAGGCACTATTTGAAGCATCAGTATCAGGACAATACTCAGCCCACCAGCGGTAGCAGCCGATGCGAATGCAAAGCATCCGGACATACCTCGGCACCATTGGACACTGGACTGCAATCAACTGCACTCAACGAAGATTGCCTGGTATGAGCGTGGGTCAATCCTCGTACCCATGCATTTTCACAAAGTAGTTGGGAAACGCGTGGATATTCACGAAAAATCACATGGGAAAATCAAATCTTGAGCCATCCCTGAGTGCAAGTGATTCATTGAAACCATCGACATGTGGAGATGTGCTCACCAATGTCAGACGCGACCCACAATTCACAAATGAAGGTGCCCCAAAAGCATCAGCAGCGCACAGGCAGCCTGCAGCTAACAGAAGCTAAGAGATGAATTTTAACGAAAATTCGGCCTTTGTTAGATATATCACTGACATCAGGCTTATCATACAGTGGCAACTGACAGCAAACAAGTAGGGTCGAAAGAAATTAGCACAGCTTGCCACGTCACAGCCCCATGACCATCCATCCCCTTGGTACCAGGCATGCCAGTTCTTTTTTGGGCCGCAACATCCCAATCTGAAATCATCCCCATCAACATCATCAACTCTTTCTTGATTTCTCCAGAACTTTCAGTATTTCCAGTATTTTCTGGGTGGTTTAAAGATGTTTTAAGGTCATTTCCATAACCCAAAGCCATTTGGAACGCCTCACGGCTCAAATCCTCACCATTTCCACTCAAATATATGGTGACCCATGGTCCATGATGGTCCATGGCCATCTCAGGAACCTAAATTGGAGGTACCTACTAGGTACCTACCATATATAAGGCCTATTTTGTTGGGAATATCCCCTAAATGGCCACCAGTTGCCGCCTGACAACTGGAGCGGAAGGCCGTCAGCGTGGCTGAGGCGCTGCGACCGGCGCAGACGTGGAAGATGCGCGCCACGCAGCCTCTTCGAAACTGAGGATTCGATGGGATTTCCCTGTGATGTCTATAGAATTTCTATGTATATCTATATCTATATTATATATATGACTATATATGGGATTTCTATGAAATTGTCATGGGGATTCAAGTAATTTTATGTTTGTCTACTTGAAAAATGTATATCTACATTTCTTCCAACTTACTATTAGTAACATTATATAATTCAAACCATCCCCTGCCACCCCCAGAACCCCCTACAATAGATGCTTATTTTATAAACCCCTATAAACATGGCTGTTGATGTTTAAGGAGGCTAAGGGGCCCTGATTATATAGTAATGGCTCATGAATATCCGAAAGGCCTTTGTACATGCCAGTGAATGTTCGTGGCTATTGGTGGCGGTTGTTGCTTCATAAGGCTTTAGGAAATACCACTGACAGTGGGAATACTAATGGGAAGATAAGCTATAGTACCTATTTGACCTACTCGGTGAATGGATGAAACCATCAAAGCCTGGTACCTCATCTTACCGCTAGGTTTGATAAGGCGCCCCCAATATCCCACAAGTTACCATGGAAAATAGACCAAAATATCTTAACATTGGGGGGGCAATCCCCCATTTAGACATCAAAAAAAAAACTTGTGTTCCAAGGATTTGTCACATTCTGAACCTTGATCGACATCAAACAGAACCTTCCACAGCCCACTCTCCGAAAGGTGCCGCACCTATGAATGCGGGCCGCAAGTAGGCAGCAGGAAACTCATCTAGGTAACCTGCATGCAGAAGCAATCAAGAATCTTAGATTATCTATCGTTCTCTTACTGTATATATATATATGCATATGTATACCTAGATATGAGATGATATTATATATATATATATATTTGTACATGGGGAAGCGCCGGTTTGCGAAGAGGATTCTGACACATTATCAAAAACGCTGGTCTACTTTCTCATGAGTATATCTGTACCTCAATCCTCCTAAATCTACATACACGCAATATGATTGACTATAATTCTATAATCATCCTGAAGGTCAGATTGCATACGAAACATCTAGAATCAAAACAAAAGTCTATGACAAATCTACGAGACCCATGTAATTTTTAAAAAAAAATAGGAAAAAAACATGTAAAAATAAAATGTGAACTCCACCAGGATTTTTTTTTCGAGTCGGCACCTGCTGGCCCCTCCAGCTGCAGCCGCGGTGTCTCAACTCCCTGCAGCAAGGCCAGCAGGTGCCGCTTCGAGGCCGTTGCACCACCGGGCACGTCCGGACCTGGCGCTGTTTTCCATGGGGAAAACATGAAAAAAATGGGGGTCTAATGATGTCAACAGGCTGCTTTCACCATGAAAAAATGGGGAATTTTAAGCTGGTTCAACGAATTCAACCATCAAAAGCATTCAGAATGCGGAGTTTTTTGCCATCAAAATATTGGATGTAACAATGTGTAAATGGTTTAAATCGATTTTAAGATGATGTTATATTACCTAACTGTCCACAATTGGGATTCAAACGAATTGAATGGCGTTGATTCTACAGAAATGAGGAAAAGCATCCCATTCTTTCTTGGTTGAACTACCATGTTTGTGGATTCGGAACGGCAACTTTTGTTGATTCTCCACGTCAAATCTCGGAATTGAATCTGGATTCGTGGCAAGAGATCTTCAAAGCATGTCCAACTGTCGTGGCCTCGCCTAAGCTTGGTGGGCGCAGCGCAAAGTTACGGCCACCTAAGCGGTTCGTTTTAAGAGTGCAAGACATGATGCATCAGCATGGCATATATATATATACCATATATATATATATATCTCTCTCTCTCTCAGAGTATATCCACAGAATCAGTTTTGATGTCTCTCCACTTTGAGCAAAGCAGTTTGAAAGAAGAACTCGCCTAAAAGATGTCCCGAAAATTCCTATTAGCTACCGGTGCTGAGTTCAAGCTACTAACGATTTGGGCTGAGCATTGGCTAGCAGCTGAAAAAATGACTCTGGCCTTGCCACTCACCTCCGGATAAACGGATAAACACCCTGAAGTTCTGAAGCATCAAAAGAAGCATCAAAGTAATTATCTGCCCCTACCTGATCCAACACCCCAAGTCACCTGCAAGAGCCCCTCAGTTATGTTGGCTTATGATACCCTATCTCTCAACTTTGATACACCCACCATAAATTCACCAAGGGGCTGATGGCGGCCCTACAGTTTCGCGCTTCCAACAGCCGCAGCTGCCACTTCTCCGACAGCTGCAGCAAGTGCGAAATTTGCTGACGCTCGGACAGCTCCCTCGGAGAGCCAAGAGGGGCACTGGTAGGGTCGCTGCATAGTGGGTTGGCATCATGGGTTATATATATATATATAGTTGGTATATATATATATACTATATCAATGGGTTGGTATAGTTGGTATCATTGAGAAAAAAATGCTTAGCACAACAAACATCAACAAACTGTCTTGGGTTATATAAGTTATAGATTATAAGCCTCTGGCAGCCTCTGGGAAAAGAGAGCGTCGAAATTGGTAGATTGCGGTGATCTGTTTATTGTGGGATCTCACTTTGGAGGGTTTTTAGGCAAGGCAGTAGATGGCCATGGAAATGGAAGGAATGGACATTCATATCAACTACTATTGAGGGGGACCATGGATTTAGCGTCAATTCAATGGGACTATGGATGGAGGTTACGTCATGGTCTTTTTTTGGATGATCCCCCGACCAAAAGGCCAGAAAAAATGATGTGAAATGATGTGAAACCGCAAAGGAGTGGTGCTGAAAAATCAACCCCCTGGCGCAATCCGAAATCCTCATCATTTTTCCTTTCGCCTGATCTCTATCAAGCGAAGCCGATGAATGCCATGGCCAAGCCCATGAGGAGAGTCAAGGGCAAGCGCGCAGCCACCCCGGAGTCGAAGTCCAAACCTTACGAGTCTCGCAGTCGATAACTGACTGCAGGTTTTTGGAGGGTATCAATACTATTGACTATTGTCTCTTTAGACTAGTTGTGGTCCACGAGATTTACACTCCAGTAAATTAACATAGACCCTGGCAGATATGGGTGGGAAGATGAGTTTCCACTGGATAGTGGCCTATTTTCAGGGTCTATGTGAATTTACCAGAGGCTAAAGGCCAGGCCGAGAAAATGGAAGCGGAAAGCTCTTGGCCATGATCTTTGTAGTGCTGAAACCATGGCTGCTTGATGCTTAAAAAGTGTAAAATGTCCCCAAAAAAATGTTGCCGAAGCCAAGGGCCGGAGACCAGCATCAGTTCCAGCCTTGTACAGTCCACCCACAATGCTCCGGCCTCAGCAAGGTGCCCGCTACACTAGGGGCAACATCATCATTTATGTGATATTCAGGGTACAGGATGAAGGCTCTTTGATTCTTTGACGCTCTTTGTACTACACAGCTTGAAACCAAGACAAAACTCCTTTCTGAGATCAGAAACTCTTCTATGCTACTCATTACTCATGCTACTTTGAATGAATGTAAATCCGTAGAACTCCCTTAACAAAATAAAGAGATCATAACTTGGAAATCAAGTGACCCACCTCTCCCAGAGGCTCCAGCTCCTGCATTGCCTCGTGCTGTACGCCCTTGAGCACCTCCGTCACATTGGCCATGAGGGACTTGGGAAGCTTCGACTCTGCAGCCTCCAAAGCGCCATCCACGAAGCTTCCCATGGCTCCAGTGACCTCCTCTGCCATGTCGTTCAGCTTCGCGGCAGCCGACTTCAGCTCTTTCCTTGGAAGTCTTGCAGGGTGCCCTTTCTTTGAACATACTTTTCAACTTGTCCATGTCAAAATCATGCAAGTGATCGAGAAAACACACTGGATTCTCCAAGCGGCATTGGACCCTTGAGCGTCTTTGAAAGTTCCTCCACTGGATCCATGGACAGCAAAGAAGGAGCCACCTCTTCAGACTCAGTCCTTGGCTGATGACTCAGGAAGCAGCCCCCAAGGCATCTACCCATCTGTCAGATCCTGCCAGAGGCTGGCAACCAAGCTTCGAGTTGGTCAAATTGGAGTCGGCACGGCTGCCCTGCCGAGCTGCTTGCCGCTTGTGACGTTCGGCGGCGCCGGGACGTTCAACATGTGCTTCAGGTGTGTAGCCGGAAAGGCTCTCATTCATCCTTGGCATCCAACTGATCAGCAGAACAAATCAGAACAAACACAAATCTAAAGATTGCAAGACATTCACAGGTTGCGCCAGCTCGGGCCTCTGGTTGGACCTGTTGAACTCTGAAACTGTTAAAGTTAAACCAAGCATCTGCTGCAGCTTCTCAGCCAGATCCTGCATGGCAAACTTCCAAGACGAGGCCGTGGTGAAGACCTTATCCATGGCCTTGTCGAGGGACATCACGGCTTTCTCCTGCGAGTTTTGGGGGTCCAGAAGCTACTTGGTGCCTGACATGGCCCGTGTTCATTGAGCCATCATCACCGTGAAAGTGTGTGAAGAAGTGTTGTGGGTATGAGTGCAACTTGTTCACAAAACTAGAGCAGTATTTCCGGCATGTCCCCCCTCTCCTGGCTGATGCTGTTCAGGGCATCCGTTGCCATCTTGGTGACTGAACGCAATTGCTCCAGAAACTGTTCGAAGATGGGTTGGATTTGTTCCTTGGTTGCGGCCGCCCTTCCTCTAAGGCCACATGGCAATGCTCATGATACACCACAGTCAACTGAACGGCCAAGCATCGAGAACTCCACTGGTGCCGGCTGCAAAAGTGGCGGCCTTATTCTTGGCCAATTTGACCTGAACCGAGGTATCCATCTAGAGCTATCATCGCCACCGATGAAAAAGGCTGAAGATTCTGAAGGTTTCTAACATTTTCTAACCATATTGTAACCTGTTTCAGGGGTGTCTCCGGTGTCTCCCAACTTTTCTGATTGGTTCTTTTTGAAGCTTTGCGTTGATGGGTTTGGCACACACCTTCTCATCCAAGGAGATGATCTCCTTCATAGCCGTGGTGTTCATATCCTTCACCTCTTGGCCTGGGCACTGGCTATGTCCAAATTTTTCCGATGGAAGGAATCTACAGTTTGGAAAAACATGAAAAAATGCCGTCCCAGGTTTGGTTTAAGGGAAAGTCACAGGACACCCTAGATATAGTTGATTACCTTATGGCAAACAAAAATGGTGTCGTTTCCTTTTTCTAAGTTGCCCCTTGAAAGTCAATTCATTGATTGAACAAATATCAAAAAAAAAATGTCAAAATCAAGGCAAATGACCCACCACTTTCAAGCTTTGATTCACTTTCGCAGCAGCGGCTTCAAAGGTGTCTAGCGCCATGTCCTTCAATGAGTCATGCGGTATGGCGTGGATAACCGACATAACCTATAAAAGAAAAAATAATTTGGCCAAATAGCAAAATGCAGAATACAATCTACTAAAAAATTGTATGTATATATATATCGTGTGTGTGCGCGTCTGTGTTTGTAGTCGTTTTCTATATTTTTCTATCATCTACAATCGTCTATAAACTATGACAACGTACATTCCGTACATATATATATATACTCCGGCAATGAAACATTGCAATTGAACATCCAAAGCTCACGGATTTTCATGATTTTCCCAGGTGTAAACCTTCATCGAGTTGGGGGGATTGGCCACGGTCCCGTCCTTGATGCCCTCAACAGCTTCCTGCCCCTGATGCACGATGGCCTTCGCCTTGTCGGTGGCCTGTGACACCACGTCGCCCAGGTGCTTCCTGAGGCAAAATTTTACGAAGATGGGGCATAAAGAATGGATCATAATCCATTGTATTGTATATATAATATAGTATCATATAGTATATAGTACAATATAGTATGAGAATAATGATTGCTAAAGCCGAAGGGGGTTTAGAATTAGAAGTCAAACTTCCGACAACATGGACAAATGGAAAAGCAGAGGTGGGAAGAGTCAGAGAAGAGAAGAGAAGAGAAGGGAAGAGAAGATCAGAGAAGATCAGAGAAGATCAGAGAAGAGAAAGAGTCAGAAAGAGTCAGAAAGAGTCAGAAAGAGTCAGAAAGAGTCAGAAAGAGTCAGAAAGAGTCAGAAGAAAGATGCAGGTGCGCGAAAAGGTAGAAAGTCGCGAAACACTGTTGCGGGGCACTTTTGGAAGTTGAGATGTCGAAAAAGTCCACGCCGTTGTGGCGCGAAGCACATTTCCAAGTCAAAATGCACAAAACACCTCAGTGTCGGACCACTTTGGCGCGAAGCACATTTCTAAGTCAAAATGTACAAAACACGTCAGTGTCGGACCACTTTTGGAAGTTGAGATGTCGAAAAAGTGCCCGCCGTTGTGGCGCGAAGCACATTTCGAAGTCAAATGTGGAAAAAACTGAGGGGTTCGGAACACTTTTGGACGTTCGGATACCGTTTTGAGGCACAAGGGATTCTGCACCTTGCCAGTGAGCAAAACGTGACGGCTTTGTGGCAGTATCAACTACGATCACTACGCTACACTACGCTCCAATAACACTACAACTACAACTACAACTACAACTACAGCTACAGCTACAACTACAACCACGCTACATTACACTACACTACAACTACAACTACAACTACAACTACAATTACAACTACAACTACAACACTACGCTACGCTACACTACACTACACTAATTACATTGCACTACACTACACTACACCACACTACACTACACTACGCTACACTAGCTATAACTACAGCTACAACTACAACTACGCTACTTTACACTACACTACACTACGCTACCCTACATTACATTACACTACACTCATTACACCACCACAACTGCAACTGCAACTACACTACACTAATTACACTACACCACAACTACAACTCCACTACAACTACAACTACAGCTGCACTACACCACACTACATCCAGCAGTTGTGGGTGAGGTGACCGATCAGGTGACCACTGCAACCATCAACCACAAAATAGACAATTCCAACCACCTTTCAGTCCATCAGTCCATCAGTCTAATTTTTGAAACTTCCGCCACCGCCTTGTGCGGTACTACTGGTATCATATTTAGTAATAGTGTAATTACAGTTGCTTATTATGACAATTTTCACTAACATGGATTTTATGTATATATAGTTAGTACAGCATATAAGAATGGATGAGTATGATTATTGTTATCCATTTAGTAACTATGTTTTGGCAAAAATGTGGTAGAATATTAGCAAGTAACACGTAGTCAGGCATAATGTAAGCATGCAACTGGAGAATGGATTAGTGTGTAATATGCCATTTTGTCCTCAGCGGAATACTGTGGATAATACTTTTTACGACGTTAATGTTCTTTACAATACTTAATGTAGCTGCAGTAGTATGTTGCATCCCATATCATGATATATAATCATGTGTTAATGGGGTAAAAGACAAGCAACAATTGGAGTATACGCAATATCGGCCATGTGGGGTATCCCACAAAATGTTCTTTGGGTTTGTCCAAAGATCGGGGATGCGGACAATTGTTTTCAAGCAGATTTTGGGGCACCCTTTTTTCAGACAAACCCAAACCACTAAATCCCTGGTATAATTCTCGTTGGAATGAGTTGTATGTGATTGGATAAATAGATTGTGATCTCAGCACAAGGGATTTCAATCCCTACCTTCCAATATGAAATACTCCCACCCAGGAACCCTGGTCTAGTGTCGCATCTATTCAGCTGGGGCGTTCATATTGAGATATTTCTTAGTGGGGGAAATGGATAATGTTCGAAGATCTTAGAGCTGAGGTTTACCTCATAATTTCTCCGAACTGTTCTATCTATTCTGTTTTTAAGCGTGTCTAGGTGTGGCGTCTATGCATAAAGGTATAATGTAATTAGTATGACACAGCACAAGACAGTGTGCAAACGTATACTCCACCATTCACCCACCACCCGACTCTGCGAGCTGGTCGCATGTCTGGCCACTCTTCCTCCATGACAGTCCTCCCCAAGGAAGGCAAGGAACGCATGGAACGCATGGAACGCGTCACAATGATATAGAAACCGAATATGGAAAATCATGTCAACACATCCAGCTTCAAGAGGAAGGGAATTCTTGGAGAAGCCCCACATCATGCAGCCCCAACTGTCCTCATGTCTTTTTTAAACATTGCCTCGCTGCAGCACAGCAGCATGCAAAGGCTCAAGATACGCAAAACAGCCATGGGTTTTTTCGGCTGCAAAAATGGCGGGATGACCGCGTAGGGTTTCGGTTTCAGGTCAGTTTGATCGGCTTGAGCCCGATGGTTGCAAAACTTGGCTTGCCAAAGCAATGCCCAAACGTCCCAAACTGACACGTATACAAATGTACATATATAGGAAGGGGAAGAGAAAGAGAGAGAGAGAGAGAGAGAGAATGGAGGACTCCACTAGTGCCCGCACCAAAACCTGGCAAATATTGCTTCTACATCCTTCTGCCACAATGGGTTCATCTCAATGCTAGACAAATTCACTGCAGATGGTAGCAGCATTGCCCAATGCCACCAATGTGTCCATCATGGACCATCTGTCCTAACTTGAGGCCACCAGATCGACTTTGATGTCCATGACATTCCTTGACCCTGACACACTCCATCCTTTTTTCTAGACGTTTCCGCCTCTCTATCAAGCGAAGCCGATGAATGCCATGGCCAAGCCCATGAGGAGAGTCAAGGGCAAGCGCGCAGCCACCCCGGAGTCGAAGTCCAAACCTTACGAGTCTCGCAATCGAGAACTGATCGGTGAAATCCATTGGCATCATTGATGCATATTGATGCGATGGTAGTCCTGTAGTGTTACCATTGCCAATCTTCCTTCGAAAGTGACCGGTGTGTTGTTGAATTTCTACGAATTTCTGGTGTTCCCCACCATTTGTGGGCGAGAAACTACGTGGATGAATCAACCAGCCAAGGTTTTAAAGTTTACCCTCTGGTAAACTAACATAGCTATTGAAAATGGCCATTTATAGTGCATTTTCCCATTAAAACCAGTGATTTTCCATAGCTATGTTAGTTTACCAGAGGGTACCCAGTGTTTCAACCTTTCCCAGACTTCAACAAGTCGGAAGAAAAAAGGTGCGCCACGAGACCAGCATCCGTTCCGGCCTTTTTGAGGCCACTGACAATGCTCTGACCTCGGACGTGTGGGGATTGTCTCGAACCGCACCCCAAAATTTGATGCTTGAGAAAATCATGTTCCCAGTATACCCATTATATAAAAAAGGGTTTGGAATGGGGTCATAAATGATTGAATATATGATATATGGGTATATATATATATATATGTGTGTGTGGTTTGTTTGCCTATTG